CTACTTGAACGGACACTACACTTTCCATTAATTTCAACTAGTAGAATAGAGCATTTAATCTTCTTGTTTCTCTTCTTCTTATTCTCCTCTCCTTCTTCTTATTCTGCTTCTTCTTCTTCTTCTTCTTCTTCTTCTTCTTCTTCTTCTTCTTGCGTTTCTTCTTCTTTCTCCTCCTCCTTTATATTTTCATGTTCTTTACTTTTATCTTTTGCTTCATTTATATTTATTTTCATTTTTATTTTATTCCACTTTATTCACAGTTCGCTTCGGTGTGAGTTTTGAGTTCCGAAGGGAAAAACCCGTTTAGCTCCCCGTTCGTGCTAAAAATACAATCACACGCGTATCTCGATCATTCTCGGTATGTTACGTCCCCCGCAATAAAAAAAAAAAATATATATATATATATATACTTTTTTTTTCTTCTTTCTCATATTTCTTCTAGCGTCTTTGTCATTTTTAAAATGCCTTTCGACCTTGTGTTACATCTCTTGATAACAATTGTTTCTTGAGAAATACGAGCAACCAGTTAATTCAATATTATTTTTTAGTAAATCGTAAGTTGTATTTTATGAAGAAATTCATGAGAAGAAATTCATTCCGTGTAAAATGTTTCATGATACATGAAACATAATTTTAAGATAGATTTATTTATTAAAACTTTAAATATTTTATACTCATAATATTATTATACTCTATAAGAATAAATTTATATGTTTTTATGCTAATATAATTCAGGTATTATTAGTTTAATGATATAATATAAAAATACATTGTATACATGATGAACGCGTTTTTAAAAATTCCAATGATCTTGACCTTCCTAATAATTTTATACTGAATTTTAATAATATGAGACATATTTATTTATGATATTTAAAAGGAAATATGAAAAAAAAAAAAAAATTTTCTTTGACATGTTTTAACAAGTACTTTTCACAAGCAGATACATTAACAAACATAATCTTAATTATAAAAATTCCTCAGAATATATTGTCTGCGTTGTTTATATTGTCAGCATTTAATTTTCTCATTGATAAAAATATGAAGTTAAGAAGTGGAACGCGGATTAACGTATAAATAACGAATCACAATGTAATGCCGTACATAAAGAAGATCAATAAGATAAAAATGAAAAATAGTGCTGCATAAATTGAAAAATGATGCACAAAAATATTATTGAAATAACTGTTAAAAATAAACAGTACGAGATAGTAAAATTAATGAATGAATTTTCCTTTAGAGAAGAGATTTTAGAAAAATGTAATAGAATAATTATGATCATTCATGTGAATTAATGAGACTTAAAAGCAATAATAAAATTTATTTTTTTTTTTTTTAACCAACTGCTTCTAACGTTCTAATATTATCTCGTAACGTAATTTGTTTAACAAGCATTAAATAGAGCATTATGTGATTTATACGCTTTCGTATGACAAGTCTAATGTTTGCTTAGGAAAGTAAAATAATTTATCAGTGAATTTATGTATTGGCGAAAGAAAATAATTAACTTCTGTATCGATGAAATGAAAGGAATAATTTCAATTTTCAACTGGATCAAACAATCGATTATTACAGCATATTCGGTACGTAATACGCCAAGTTTAAAATGAATCGGGATCGTCGATTAATAAATAATAAGTTATATAAATAAAATAAAATATCTAAATACTGATATTAACTTTTTAGAACGTTGCAGTTTTTATTAGAAAACATTAATACAGATTAAAGAGATTACGTAATAAAATGTATTTGGCAAGGGTATACAAAGCTTTAAGTATTACATGATTTTAAATATTAATGATAATAAATTTATAATTACTTTTCTCTTTTCTTCTTTTAAACTAATGACAATATTTAAAATTATTAATAAAAATTTGCAATGAATCATAGTTAAGTATCTGTCTCTATGTAGCTTCTGAAGTAAAAAATTTAATAAATGCATGCGTATTAAATAATAACAATAAATAACATAAATAAGATATTACATTTCAAATATAATATCTTATTTAAATTAAATATTCAGGTGTCATATCAAATATCATAACAATGAAAACAATATAAAATAATAAACTATTCCAGTTATTTTATATGTTATTATTAATTTAAAAATGAATGATCAATAATACGTATTTTAAGCGTTAAAAGACATAAGTTTGTGTCCATTAAAAATATATTGTAATAATAATGATATTAAGCTGTATTTGGTATTGAGAATTTTATAAATTATTAAATCTATAAAATCGCAAGAAATTATAAGAAATTTCAAGTTTCATATTTGAAAAACAGGAATATTAACTGCATTAAAATATGTATAATATACTACTTATTGATACCTAATGCTTTAATTAATTTCGAGTAAAATTTTCCATCTTACCTGTAAATCCATATCAAATCTATCTAAAAGAGTTCATGAAATTGTAAAAAAAAAAAATGAATTAGTTTACATTATAATAATTATAACAAAATACTTTCAAATAATTCAATAAAAAAAAAAAATGGAGCTTAAATTTAAAAAAAAAATTATATTTTAATTCAAATTTATGCTGTAAAAATAATTAAATTCAATATGTTTATGCGAAGAGTTTTTCTTTGAAAATTTTCCCAAGAATGAGCTATTTTAAAATAATCTTTTAACTAAAGTAACTACTTACTTTTAGCATTCACAAAAGTTCGATATGAAAATTTATTAATACTCGATAGTCGGTATATGTAAATTAAGAAGTTAAAATTGCAATAAATTTTATGTATATATTGTTATTAGAATTTATTAAGAAAAGTTAAAATTTAACGAATCAGCATTACTGAATTACAAGTATCTTTTGAATGTTTGAATTGTCACTTATTAATATATTTTAAAATTAATATATTTAAAAATATTTATTGACTTTTACAATAAATAGCATTTCCATTATTTTATTATGCTATAATAAAGCTGCTTTTCTTAAAAGTAAAGAATAATTACATAAATTTAATAACAATTAATTCCCAAATACCATAATCCAAGTCGAGAGGTCTAAAAAATTAATTTAACAAAAAAAGATAAAAACAAAACAAAAAAATGATTGCGTAACAGATAAAAGTATAAAAAAAATATTTTTCAATACTCTCTGTAGATTAATAATTAAAAAGTGTATAGATAATAAGGAAAAAAGTGAAAATAAGACAAACTGCTGCTGATCATAGATGGTACAAACAAATAAGAATTGACGTTCTACTTGTCCCTGATTCTATGCGTAGCACTGGCCTACTACGTATTACGTTACGACAGATAAATTTAGCGTTTCTTTTACAAGAAGAACCATCCAAGATATACAAAAGCGAGATGGAGAGAGAGAGAGAGAGAGAGAGAGAGAGAGAGTGCATGAGCGAGCGAGCGAATTGTGATGGAGGAGAGGAAGGAGAGAAAGAGAGTGAAAGACAGCGGTGGCTAAACCGTTGTACGGATGCCAATATATATGGCGTGGAATTAATTGGCCTCTTGGACGACCACCAATAATCGTCTCTCTCTCTCTCTCTCTCTCTCTCTCTCTCCCTCTCCCTTTCTCTCTTTCTCCTCGTCCTCCTCCTGCTCCTCTTCTTCCTCCTCCTCCTCCTCCTCCTCCTCCTCCTTCTCCTCCTCCTCCTCCTTCTTTCCTTCGACATGTTACTCGTTCGAGTAGATAGGCAATAACGAATATTAGACTGCGTAGATGTTTTATTTTACTTCTCTTCCATTTCCTCATCATTTTTTATCTTGTATTTCTTGATTACTAATAATCATAGATGTGGATGTGCGATACCAAATTTAATTTATTATTAAGCATCAAACTTCAATAGTTACGAATAAATACAATAAATATAATTAATATAATTACAAGTAGAGATTATATTGAAATTATTAGTTGACAATATGCGCTCTTTCTTGAAAAGTCAAACGTAATATATTAGTTCAACATTTACTTACTTATTGTATTAAATTTACGTTTAAAAATAATTTAACAATTAATTAATAGCCACAATATTGTTGGTTCCTTTTAATTATTTCCGCTATCGTGATATGATAATTTTAATAATACATACATTTCTTATTAATTTTATAAGAAATTAAGTTACCATTATTTTAACAATATATATTTATTAAAAGTAAAATATTTATGTATACCTTTAAAACATCAATCTTTATTAAAAAATAATTAATTTGTTAAAAATCGTTGTTTATAAGTGGGAACTAAAGTATTGAAAATAATTGTTTTACAGACTTATAAGCTATCTAAATAATAATAATGTGAATGTTGAATTCATTATTTTGTATTAAGTATGAATGTCAATTAGTTATTAGAAGATTAACAGTGGAGCAAAAAAGTATTAGAAATTAGTCATTTAATTTGTCTTTCGTTACTTTCAGTCTCATATCTCACTACTTATCATCGTAAGATATACTAATAGCTTTGTACTAAATAATTTTCGTTTTTAAATGTTGTTTAAGCTTGGTAAATATTAATTTTATGTTTGGCTTATGTACCCAAATTAATTTTATCAGCTAATCTTTGTGTATACGTATATATTAAATAATGGACATATATATATATATATATATATATATTAACATTGACAATAGTTAGTGAATTATATTTCATTTGACAAATGATTTAATTGAATGAAAATTTAATATTTTTATTAAGATGCCTACAATTTATAATTAAATTCATAATTAACTAATACTTTGTCATTTCGAAAGTTCAACAATTAAATAATAAACATGATTGTTGATCTTGTTTGCGCTCTCGTTCCTAAAAGAGAAAAGAAATTTCGAATAATATTGAGAAAATCCGAGATGCTCGAGAGCTTGAAAATTTAATTTAATGTCATAGGCTTGAATGCATAAGCCGCTTGATATAATCGATATTGAATCTCTGCCGTATAAATAATCGCATATTCGGCATTTTCAATCGCATTAAGCGAGAAGCGAACAAAACTTGGTGCTACGAACTAACGTACACATTCTCGATTCCTCAAACCAGGCAATTCGACAGTAAGCGTCGCAGTATCCTGAACAACGCGGCTTACAACATCTTCAGGTCGAACGAGACGCGCAATGCCGGGTTCCTTGGCAACAGCGGCAACAAGCGCGTAAACTTGTCCGCCCGAGCGATCAACAGCGGTGGAAGCGGCAGCGGTCTCAGGAGCTTCCTGCAGCGGAGCATATCCGCGGATAATGTGGTAGTGAGCGAACGCGGCCTTAAGCCCTCGGACCTGCGCGACCCCGTCAAGAGGAACTTTATCGAGAACCTGACCTCGAAGATTCTGCACTTCGACATGGTAAACGATTTATTTGGCGCGTCGCGAGCCTCGATCGAGAAGTCCCGCCAAGTCCAGTTTCCCTCAACTTCAGCGAAATCGACTGAAGAAGTGAAATCGACTTGGTTAAATCGACCGTGGGCCTTATCGCGGCTAATATTAGCCTTCGTAACGAGTCTCTTATTATTTATACGCATTTCTTGATATCCAGTAGCCAAATCGGAAATATGAGCGAGGGTCAATTTTTCATGCTCGGCGCGCGCTTCTGCGCAGTCGTCGATTAAAGTTGAATGGATAGTTTTATCGCTGATTCGCGTGTACTCCAATTGACGAATATACCGAAGGGACATTGTCGTTATTTACGCGAAGCCTACTACACCGTCAGCGCGGCAATTAAAGTCTCGATTACGAAGAAAAAAAAACAAAAAACAAAAACAAAAAACAAAAAAAAAAACAAACAAAAAACAAAAAAAAAACAAAAACAAAAAACGACGACGACGAGGAACAAATGGAAAATATAACGATTTCACTCTCCGCAAAGACCCGCGAGCGTAATTGGCAGAGACCTGATAAACTTTTATGAGAATGTCAGAAGAAAATTTTTCATAAGAATTGTATAATGATACTCGGTCCTATTTAAGTCGTGATGACTATTCATTTAATTCGAAAATAAAGCTAACTCCAATTTAATAATATTGAAGTTACAATAATGACTAATGGCAATTGAAATGCTTCTTTACAGGAGAGCGGAAACTCAACTCCGATAAACTTGCAAAAGTTGCTAACCCCTGCATCAGACGCGACAGAGATAACGCACGTAAAGAATAGTAAGCAATTTCGTATTATTAAATATAGAAAAAATCACGCAAAGCGTGTTTAAACATATATTACAACTTGAGCTCTGTCGCAATGAAGAGTGAGCAGTTAGTTTTGTCTTTTTTTTTTTCTCTTTTTTTTTTATTTTTCTAATTTTTAATATTTGCCGACGAAGGCATTATTACAGCTAAATTAATAATTTTACGGTGTAGAATTTCAAAAATTAATCAAACAATTTATAGAAACAAATTGCCCTACAATTATCAGAAAAATACACGTCGTTTATGTTCAGCGTAGCAATGTATAATAATAGCCGAGCGCTTAATATCTTTATTATTTGTTTAATTTTCGTTAAGACCTTATCTTTGAAATAATAAAAACATTATCAATTTCAATAACCAAGGTAAAAAGTTTTCGAGATATTTCTTAAAGTGAATATGTAAACGTAAAATACTTTTTATCGCTGTTTATTCGCAATGTTTTAAATAAAAGAAAATAAATAATATTTCAATTTTATCGAAAAAATCATTGCAAAATTATAGCATTTTTTACTGATAAGTTTAAAGCGGCTATAAATAAATATTTTTTTTTTTTTTTTTTTTTACCATATTTTCCATTTAATCTTGAAACGAGTAATAAAATTATTACGTTGTGTTATATAATGTAATGTTACTTTAAAAACATAGAAAAACAGAAGAAAAAAAAAAAAAAAAAAAGAAAGAAAGAAAGAAAGAAAGAAACGAAAAGAATTTTTTGCACGATCTACTTGCTCGTAGTTTAAAAGAAAAAAAAAAACAACAAGTCAGTAAAACTGATAGGCGACGGTAAATCTATCTATAATTCATTTGGTCGAATGAAAATGCCAAAATACATTGGAAAATATCCTAAAGGATAATTTACTATCCTTAATAAATATAGGGCAGATACGAATGATCTGTTGATATCATGATTCCATGAATGTAACAATACCGCGGGAGGCATGCGATAGTAAATTAATTAGAATAAACAATAACAGAGATGACGCGGCGAGAATCGAATTGTCCAACATAATCCTCTCGATTGTGCATAAGAAACGCAAAAGGTAAACCGACTGTTATCCCGCAGAGAAAATGTACGCCTCGTCTTACTTCTATGCGCCGACTCACCCGACGGTGGAAGACCAAGTGGAACTGGCACGACGAATCTCTAATTCCCTGAGCGACGTCAAGAACGTGAAGAGCAAGGGCCAATCGATGTACGTCAACAGGAAGAAGCGTTCGGTCAAATGGATTCACGACGGTAACGGCAAGTATGATACGGACACGAATTCACCTACTCCCATCTCACTATGCACAAACAACATTTTACATTATTTCGTTTGACATTTAATTATGCGAGATGCCAGTAAAACATAGCGCTCGCTCAATCATATCGTTTTGTTTTTAACTTTTAGGTGTAGAGGACGAGGAAGAGACGTTGTCACCTGTGCTGAAAGTACGTATGATCCATTCATAAGACGTAGTTTGATAAAAAAAAAAAAAAAAAAAAAAAAAAAAAAAAAAAAAAAAAAAAAAATGAGGGGAAGCTGTCACGGTCTTTAAATCAATGTAAACTTTTAAAATCTAAAAAGGGTTTATTGAGTGCAATTTGTTTTGTATTGTTTTTGTTTGTTTGTTTTTGGTTTTGTTTTTGGTTTTGTCTTTTACAAAAATTCTCCTGACATTGGCTCGTTGCTCGCGTTGCATATTCTATTGTACGTAATAGTCGCAAATATGCACGTAAACCTGAATTAATCGATGGATAATTTTGGCCAGTGAAATTGACAGCCCGTAATTCCGTAATGATAATTGAATGCGGCAAACCCCTGTTCGCTATAAAACAAACCCTGTATTATGTGTTTTTAAGGAGAAAGTGCCATTAAAATGCATGATGAATCCGAGCGGAAAAGTATTGGACATCCATGGCATCCAGGCACTCGGCGAGGAAGTGAATATTCAAACGATACCACAGCATCCTGAAAGACTGTTCGACATCGTACGGGACTTGAATACCCAAAAAGGTCGCGGTACGTGCTGGACAAGGAATCCTTTTCTATTCTCACACTTTCCGTTAATATCGAAAAACATATAGCCCGGATAGTAGGAAGAGGTGGAGAGTATGGGGTGGAGGTGGGGATGGAGGTGGAGGAGAGCCATTATAAGCGCTTATATGCCGAATGATATTTCCAAGCGTTTGTTTGCACTGAAAGCAAGATGAATGCTGATTAGGATAAACATTTTATTACGTCAGACATTAGAAATGGATTAGGTGAGGAGGTATAATTAGATGGGCCGTAGACCACCGAGGTGATTGGCCTGTTACGCCAAGTTTTTCGCAAACTTTTAACGGCCGTTAGATTAGTGCCAAAAATTCGTCCATATAATAAGCGCCACTGGTGCAGTCGAACCTTTGTACTGTCGGGATAGCGTTCGAGGAAAGTAAGAGCAAGGGCTGGTGCGAATATTTTGAAATTATGTCTGTGCATCATTCTTCAATCGCTTATATTATCGTATTACTTTACGTACGCTCAACATCACTTTTACACTCTTGAGAGATGAATTAACGAGCTAAATGTCATACTAATCATAAAGACAGCGACGAGACTTTTTTAATTGCTTAGGGTCGGCTTTATTTTTCCTTGTTTTTACGTATTTATATTTCGTCAAGGTCAAAACTATTTATAAATATTTCTCTGCCTCGGTTATTTTATATTTGGGTCTTTGGTTGAAACTGTAACGGCAATTTAATTTAAACTTATCAGTACTTTAAGTCATTAATTAATTAAGTGTTTTATCGTAATTGACGCTCTATATTATGATTACATCAACCGATCGTTCCATTAATACTGATTAAGCTTTATTTCTCATAAATTTACGACAGTTCTTATAACCACTTGTTCATAGGCATTAAAGATCATTCGAAAATCTTTGAATATTTTAAGTAAAGTTTTGCATGGATTTGCTTCATTTTTTTAATTTTTTTTTCTTTTTTTTTTTTTTTTTTTTTCGAATTTACTATCTCGTTCAATCTGAAAATTTATTATGAAATTAAACGTAATTATTATTATTCTTTGATGGAGTGAGCGGAAAATATTGAAAGAAAGTAATTATATATGTATAAGATGTATTTCTTTCTTTTTTCTTGTAATAATATTCATAGATTAGTATAATGTTTGGTGTAACTAAGCCATTGACATTAGATTTCTTATTCTCTTTTTTATTTGACGTTTTAGTCAGGTACGTGGCTAAAACAATTTATATAACATATATATATATATATTTTTTTTTTTTTTTTTTTGACTTAAAATCATCTAATTAGCAATAAGTGATTGAAATTAAAGAAAAAAAAAAAAAAAAAAAAAATTAGAAGAAAAAATGGTCACTCCAGGTAGCTTCTTCAACAGTCATATTTATTGTCAACAGGAGCTGAAATATTCGCAAAGCGTAGAAAAAGATCGGAAAAGTGGGTTGTCGATACGGAACAATCTCAATCATCAAGTAATTACAATTGCATAAAGACACCAACATATTCGATGAAACAGGTACGTAATATAAAATTAACGTTAATGAAACAATCAAATGAAATAACATACATTTATAATTTATTGTACAGGAAATTAATACAAACGAAAGTTCAAAATTCGATAATAATAAGCCCTTGTATAATCCATTCTCTGTTGACATGTCCATGGACTATTCAAGCCCACCTACGACAAGTAAGCCAAATTCTTATGCAATAAAAATTAAGTAACATTTTTCACTTGCAAATATCATAATAATATTTTTATAATTGCTTACTCATCCGTATTACTTAATTTCTTATAAAATTTTCAATATCTTATCGTTATCTTACACTACTGCATTTATCTATTAATCTGCTTATTTAATGCTGATAAATAATAAACTGCTTTTTTGATTTATTAAAAACAAAAAACAAAAAACAAAAAAAAAAAAACAAAAAAAAAAAACTGGATTATGAATATTTTATAAAATTAAAATTCTAAATTATTTTAAATATAATGAAATAGCCATACACAATGAATCATTCTTTATTTTAGTATTGTCAATAAGTATTCTCTCTTTAAACATAATTTTTTATCATTTGCCGTTTTCTTTTCTCCCAGTGATTGATTGTAAATTATATAATTATTTTTAATATTTTAAAGCACAGTAAAAAATAAGTGTTTCTTCGAAGAAATTGAATAGATGTTATTTCAATTTTTTACTTTTCTTCGGTAATCGCGTGAAAATAAATTCTATAAAATATATCTATTCTATTCCGCGTACAGTATTGCCTTCAAACAAATACATTCGATTAGATTAATGTATTTATAAAATTAAAATTTTTTCAATTTGTTCTATTAATAATTATAACGATAACAATAATAATTAACAACAGCAACAACAACAACAACTACGACGACAATAATAATAATAATAATAATAATAATAATAATAATAATAATAATAATAATAATAATAATAATAATAATGATAATGATAATAATAATAATGATAATAATAATAATGATAATAAAGCAATAATAACAATAATGGTAATAATGATAATGATAATAATTGTAAAGGAGAAATTTGAATTATTTTGAAAACGAATTTTTTTCCCATAATTAACATTGATTGATAGATTGTAGCGATTTAATGCTTTTCATAAATAAATTTGAAAGAGTTGGATATTAACATTTTGAAGCCTCTTTTTTATACATTGGAAACTAATAACCTTTCCTTAGACTGCGCTTATCAACATCAGCATCAATGCTCACATGCAAGCTTTAGCAGTGCTCATTCAGACTGTAGTCCTTGTCACACTGAAGTTAAGAAGATCTATTTGCGTGAAGTGGCTGTCGGCACAGATCCTGAATTGAAGTCATCGTCGCGCGATAATAACGTCGTCGAGAATCTCCGGCGTTTGAATTTCCACGATTCTAATCCGTGCAACACTATGGATCACAATCATAATAAACGTTTTGGTAATTCTAGCATCAATAATGGCCATACCAAAAGTAATCGCTGTAAAAATGTACAAAATGGTAAATACCATCAGCATTGCCAATCAAATAATTACCAATCATATCAGGGAGCTAATAATGGCTTAAACAATCATCACTATTATGGCCACAATAATCGTAACGGTCATAATCACCGTAATCACCACGGCCAATCTAAAAATAACCAAAGCTATTATCAGCAAATTAGTGGTAATTATTCGGCCTACCAGCCACAAATTTATGGCTATCAAAATGGCAATGGTCATCACAATGGCAATGGTCATCATAACGGCAATGGTCATCATAATGGCAATGGTCGTCATAATGGCAATGGTCATCATAATGGCAATGGTCGTCACAACGGCAATAGTCATCATAATGGCAATGATCATCATAATGGCAACGGTTACCAAGATCAACCAAATAACGAGGATGAAGAGATGAATGAGATTCCGGATGAAGATTACACACCAGTTCCGGTGAAACAACTTATTCAGGAATTTGAAAAAACATGCAAACCCATTATGCAATTGAAACAGTACGCTCCTAAGGTTGAACCTGTCATAAACAATCAGAACGATATTTCGCGCTTTTTCGAATGCAGAAGCGAGGTGGTCTATCATAATCGACGGGAGTCCGATGATTATCATCAGCGCAATCAATATAGAGGAATCGGTTATGCGAGTTCTGGCGACGAGGAACACGATGAAGAAGATGACGACGACGTCATTAATAATAACAACAACGACGACAACGACGACGACGACGACGTCAACGACGATGACGACAATGACGACGACGACAATGACGACGACGACGACGACGACGACGACGACGAATCCCTAGACGATTCCTTATCACCTGTAAACTTTTATAGAGTCGACGATAGACTGCTAATAAATCCAACGACTGATCGTCCAAATACCAACAGATCGTCGTCTATGAGTACCCTTGACGAATATTATCGAAAACAGATTCAACGAACGCAGCTTGATACTATTGAGAATTTTGAGGATGAACGAAATGGAAAGAAAACAACAGATTTAGATGTCGACGTGCAGCCAAATAATAATGCGGTGGCCTTGGCGGTAATAGCTTCGCAGGATGATTTAATAGCACAGAAAAAACATCTGAGGAGTACGCCGGTGTTAGAAAATCTCGTCGCGGGCACCACGACACCCGAGTGTTTTAAAAAGGAGTACACCGAAGAAGTAGGCAAGTGTAGTCATTATAACCGAAAAAAAAAGGCAAACTTATGTTTTTGCTTTGCTATGCTTTGGCTTTTAAATGTATTTTTTTTATTGAGTAACACGTTTTCGTGATTTTTAAATTTACAATAATAGTTGAAATAGCATGTCGATTGATTGTCAATCAGCACTTTACGTGACACGCTTATTTAATATCCAAAATAATTTAGTACAACATATAAGTCGTCATTAATAAGATTACTAAAATTTACATTTGTTATCTTTACTTTGTAGTTGTTTCCTTTTACTTAGTCACATAATGGTTTTTCCTTTTTTTTCCTATTTTTTTTTTCTTTCTTTTTTTTTTTCTTTTTTTTTCTAATGTTACTAAAAATGATTCAAGATGTTAGTTAACATATTAAAATAGCAATCGGTATTCGAGAAAAATTTTTTATATCAAAAGTATTCAATGGTAATTGTTACATTAAAAATTTCATAGTAATTATATGGAATTTTATTCGTATAAAAGAATACAACTTTATAATGAATTTATAAAATGTCGCTAATAGTGCCTAAGAGCATATTTATTATCCTCACTTTATATTGTGGTTAAAAGTCAATTAATCGAATTTTAATAAAGTATATGAATCAGTGTATTATAATTAAAAAAAAAAAAAAAAAAAAAAAAAAATCTAACGCATATAAGATTTCCTTCGTATTGAGTAAATTAAGGGTATGAAGAGAAAAATTAACGATATCTTAAAATTATTAAGTTCCTTATATAATCACATTAATATTATCTTCAAATAATTTATTATAATTCAAAACTAATTGACCATCAACTGATTGTTTGAAATAGCGGGAAAACTTTACGATAACACATATCAAGGTCCGAAGATCTCAAGTTACCAGAATCTCACGAATTACAACACCGCGCCAAGAGGTTGGGACCAGTCGCAGCCAATCTATCGACCCATTAGATTCGAAAAGCCACAAGACAACAAAATCGTCTACTCGGACTTCTAAAAAAAGAAAAGAAAAAGTAAATGGATCAAAGCGCTTTCAAATCATCAAAAAGCTTCTTCCGCGGCCTCGGCATGTAATGCATATCATTACACGCACTCCCAGTTCTCGCGTTAAAGTTACAAACAACGCAGCCTCAGCAAGCAAATCTAACGACGAAAGAAAATGATATAGACCAGATGTTATCCGATGTTCCTCCGCGGCGAAGCGCCAACTTGATCTGTAAATGTCCAAGGTGACTATCTTCAATTTTTCAGTTGTACTAGTCATAAGAAGGCGTAATCAATTGCTATACACTGTAATGGATAATCTTATATTTACATTAACATACGCACATTCATAGGCATATTTATCTATATGTATATATGTATATGTATATATATATATATATATATATATATATATATATTAGATGCAATTATTTATTTTCATTATAAATTTAATTTTTATCTAGCGATTAAATTAAAGTAATTTTTTTATTTTCTGAATATAGTAGATTTATTTTCTAGATTAGATTCTTTATCTTCGGCTTGATTAATTTTATTACCCCATACTTTTACTTATTATTAACTAGACGAGAATTTGAAATGGTATTAAGTTAAAAATATTTAAATAAGGTAAA